CCCCCTCGAAGACGTCGGCAACAGAGTGCGTAGAAACGGACTGGTATGCTCACTGAGCCGCAGGAATGCATCATCGAAGTCAAGGTGCACTAGAAAGGTCTGTTTGCCGTCGCGTCGTCGAGGCATGCGATACCGAATGCGAGTGGCCGATTCCTGTGGGATCTGGGCTTGTTTTGGCCGACGAGTCGAGGCGATCGCGAGACGACGACGCCGCGGTCGTCAGGTGTTGCGACAAGCCGCAGTTGTCGGGCGGAAAAGTCTTCTGCTCGACGTCGGCCAGCACCGCTGGCCCGACGCAAAGGCTGGCCGACTGCTCTCCGGCCGGTTATGTACACGTGGAGCTCGAGGCTGCCTTTGCACGATGCAGCAAAGTGGCGGGCTGGCCGGCTCTCGACGCCAAGGTCTTCACGATACCGACGGCTGGCAGGGCCGAGTCAGCCGGTCCATGTTGGGCAGGTTCCGTGGACAAACGGGCCTCGAGTGTACCGTCTGCGGAGGTCGTGGCGGCGCCGCTTTGAGCAGGAGCTGAGCTTCAATCTTTGCCCGGCCGGACGGCCACACTTTGAGCCTCGACTGCCGGTAGCCTGGACTGAAGAGATCGGCACGGACGTTGATTAGGGGCTCGATCGAGAAAATCATACATTTCAGGGAAAACACATGTGGCCGTGTCTATGCAATTGGCCGTGGAAATGACGAGCGCAGGGTGAAGAAAAGAAAAAGAACATACAACAGAACCGTGACTGGTCGGGCAGGCGGACAAGGAGAGGCGGACAGCAGATTTTGGCAACTCGAAGAAAATTCCAATTACACGCCTAAAAATACACAAACATGTGTATGCATGCCTGGGTAAATGCACAAGCATGCACACACGCATACATTCGAACATGCATTCATGTGTTGTTAGGCGCACACGTACAGATGTGCATACGCTGTCCGGGTGAATGCATACTTTTATGGATTTACAATTTGATGTTGATGATATTTAGACAAACACAGAGATTGGCAGATTGGCAAAAGTTCACATTTCAGAACGGATCTAGTAAAATTAAAGCGAAAGTAGTTGAGAAATAAAGACAGAAAAAAGGGAAAAAATAGAATGTTATATATATATATATATATATCTGTGTGTGTGTGTGTGTGTTTGTGTGAATATGTGCATATAGAGCCTGGACTAAACTTCAGCGCGCGGATTGTATTGAAGCAATTGCCGTCATTATAAAGGCCATTGTGTCCATTCTTCCGCTGTGCCAAAGATCAAGAATTGTTAATAGCAACGTCAGGCATGCAAGGATTGGTCACTCGGTCCGGATATCAGCATTGGAGGGCTCAGCGTGACAAGGTGGAATACGAGGGAGTGGAGTTCACTGTAAGGAGAAAGAAGAAAATAAATAAAAGTCATCAATGTGAGCAAAATGGTGCCAAGGCATGCGAGATATGATAATCATTCGTTTCGAGTCCCGAAAGGGGTGCTGATGAGGCGGTGAAGCGAGTTTTAAATCGCAATCCAATCGGACCGTGAAGCCAAATGAATTCATGCTTAATGCCATCATTAGGATTGGTCATAAGCGTGAATGACTGACTGAGTTATTGGTTTTAAAGAGATGGCAGTTAGCAATTATCCTTCGAGAACCCTCGAGAACTAATCATGTTGAAATTAAGTGACGTCGTCGATCGACAATGTAATGAGATGTATTCACCCTATTTCGTGTAAGGTGATGAAGGACTGGTAGTAGAATTGTCCCACAATGATATGAGTTGAGCTGACGTTTCCATTGAATTTTCACATAGCCTTGCTTT